CTCTGAAAGCCTAAGTTCAATCCCCAGGGTAGGAAAGAACTAAATCCTGAGCTTTGTCCCCTGACCGACATACGGGTGCTGTGGCGTGCGCACGCCCACACACACACACACACACACACACACACCAGTAGAGTCAAACAACAGACACAAACTACAGCAGGGAAGTACAGACTGATGCTCCTGGAGTAGCTGGATTCAGGATGAGCTGGTTTGCACGTGCAAAGGTTAACCTGAGTCTGGAACCCAAGTGTTCAGCATTAAACAGAGAGCAAAGCTGCCTTCAGTCCTACCCAGCACCAACAAAACCACGGTTGTCCATTATACTGCAGTATTTGTACTTTGGGATCCAGGCTTATACGTTAAAATAATTATTTTGTCTAACAGAAACAACCAAAGTATCTTTTTTAAGTTTTTGAGAAAAGAAACTACAAGATTGGAACTTACTTCCTCCACTCCAAGAAAAATAAGAAGATGCTTCATAGTGTGGCCCCAGCATGGGAAAGGTCTGGTCAGCTGTTCATCTCTCTTCCCCGTGGAGACAGGCTCGGAAGAAAACACTGACTTTTTACATTTACTTTGTGTGTATGTGTGTGTGTGTGTGTCTGTGTGTCTGTCTGTCTGTCTGTGTAAATGTGTGTCTATGTGTGTGTGTGTGTCTGTCTGTATGTGTCTGTGTGTCTGTCTGTGTGTATATGTCTGTGTGTGTATGTGTGTCTGTGTCTAATTATGTGTATGTGTATGTGTGTGCATGTCTATGTGTGTCTGTGTGTCTGTGTGTGTGTGTCTGTCTGTCTGTCTGTGTAAATGTGTGTCTATTGGTGTGTCTGTGTGTCTGTGTGTCTGTCTGTGTGTATATGTATATGTGTGTGCCTGTGCGTGTCTGTGTGTGTATGTGTGTCTATCTGTGTCTGTGTCTAATTATGTGTATGTGTGTGTATGCATGTCTATGTGTGTCTGTGTGTCTGTGTGTCTGTGTCTGTGTGTGTGATCCACAGGTCCATGTGTATGGGCACTTGCAGGACATTACCGGGCATCAGTTCTCTGCTTCCATTGTGGGTCCTGGGAAGCAAACGTAGGCCATCAAGTTTGGAGGCCTGTGCCTGTGCCTGCGGAGCCACGTCTCTGGCCCAGGAAATGTGTTTACACTGCAACACTGTCAATTACTATTTGGACTTACTGTGCAGATTTTACCAAAGCCTTACTCTAAAGTAAAGGAATAGGATTTTTAAAAAGTTATCAAGACATTTGAACTAGGATAGAAAAAGTCATCAAGGCATTTGAATGAGGATAGAGGTTTTACATTTTAGTAATAACATAAAAATGGCTCTGGATAAAACTGTGATTGCTGTTCTCATGATTAAAAAGACTGTATTGTGACACAGGAAAAACTTTACTCATCTCCACGGCTTCTCCCTGGATGAGGGGAAAGGACTGAGGGAAGGGGGTATGGCCGGCACCTAGGATGCCAGGACACCATCTCAACCATCTCTGCTGAACAGGTGACTCCCAGCCTGAAGAGAGACACTGCAGCCATGCTAGAGGGTCTTGACGTCATGCTGCTGAGATGCAATCTCTACTCAGAGAAAAGACTGAGCAGTGCCTTCGGGCACTTTGGCCATGTTGAGGGCTATGGCATAGAGAGAAGTGTAGGAAAAGGCAGTGTTTCTGTGAAAGTCACGGATGGATAAAGGGAATCCATGCCTCAGCCCAGGACTGGAAGAACAGAGTACATTCCTTCCTCAGAACGCAAGGAAGCCATTGTGGAAGAAACAAATAGACAGCTGGTTTTGCAAAGACTTGGTAAGCCCCGGGAGTTCTGCCAGGCACCTCACATAAAGTCTACATGCCATACTCATGACAAATGGAATCTGAATTAGCCAGATTTGTCCTAAACTTAGAATTCAAGGCAAGAACTTGACTAGTGCTATAGAAAATACAAGAAGAAACACAGGAAGGGAATGGGATAGGACTGCTTTCCCCTTCCATCAAGCTACCTCTTGGCTCCAAATCCCTCTTGATATTATGATGGTTTGGTTTGGTGGGGTGAGGTGTTGTTTTTTGGTTTGGTTTGATTTTGGTTTTGGTTTTTTGGTATTTCAAGACAAGGTTTCTCTGTGTAACCATGGCTGTCTTAGAACTCGTTCTGTAGACCAGGCTGGCCTCAAACTCATGTAGATCTGCCTGCCTCTACTTCCCAAGTGCTTGGACTAAAGGTGTGTACCACCACCCCCAGCAATGAGCATATTATTTTAACCCAATGTCTCTTCCACTAAGGTTAAGCAAACAAACAAACTAAGTTCTGACGAATGAATTGAGCTTGGTACTTATTTTATAAATAACTTCAGAGAAATATTTGGAAATGGTGTCCGGCTTTGTTTCTAGGATGAAAGGAGCCCAGTCATAAAAAGAGAAGGAGAAAACACTAACTTGAAAGACAACCAAATGTGTGGAAACAGCGAGGATGAAATAGAACCAAGGAGCAGCCCTCAGATCTAACCTGCTGGCAGCCTTCACACATCCAGAGTCAGCTCTCAGTTCATCAGAGGCAAAGTGAGGGGAGCTGAGGTCTCCCCCAAGGTGACGTTATAAATGGTTTGAGTCGCGAGCATGGACCTATTACTGGCACCACCTTCAGCCTGTGCATGTGCCACTTCCTAGTTTTCTATAAATCAGCTGTTGAGGTTGGTTGGTTTGGGGGTTTGTTCAGTCTCTTTTGTGGTTTTCTTTTGTTCGGGGCAGGGGGTGTAGTTTTGTGGTGCAACCCAAGGCAATCTGTACACAAGGCAATTCCTTCCCCACTGAGCTCTGTCCCCAGCTCTTGGTTACGGACTCTCACTGTGTAGTTCAGGCTGGCCTCACTTACACCAGCCACCCTAGTTCAAATTGCAGTCCACCCCAATTCCTGTGGCTGATCCCATCCCAGGCTCTCATGCGAGGTTTTCAGAGCACAAACCTTGGCCAAGGAAAGCCAGCTGGTGGTGATCTTTGGCCCTCCTTGGCTGTGCACTCCAAAAGGGTAAGGTTTGTTCGCCCTTTTGGTTTGTTCACTGATGCAAGCTAAGCCATAGTACATGGAGATACTCATAAATATTTAATGTGTATTGTTGCTTAATGTGTGAAATGAAAGCCAAAGTTCAAAACAGGTAATAACTTGAACATGAAGGCCATAAGGACCCGGAAAAGTGAAATAGGTAGGATTTACTTTGTGTGGTTTGACATTATTAAAATTTGTTAAATATTATTTAAAGAGAAAAGATGACAATTTTTAAGTGATTAATGCAATCCCCAAATGGAAAACTGTGTCCATGAGACCCAAAGACATATGATCAACAGCAGCAGGGAAAGAGCAGAGAGTGAAAATCAACTCCTGGGGTTGGAATGGTGACCTCCCAAAATGGTTCAGCTGGTAAAAAGTAGAAATTTAGGGAATTCTCCAGAAAGAACAAGAGTCCCCAAATATGAGAACCCAAGATAAAAGAAAACTAAAGAGTCAGATCAAGAGCAACTAGCATGTTTCAAAAAAGAATGAAAACACGAAGAAGAAATTGGAGGAGAAGACTTTTTTAATGTCTGGGACAGAAGGACATGAGTTTCTGGACCACAAGGAGGCCTGCTCTGGAGCACAGCTGGGTTTGGTTTGCTCTTCAATCAGGCCACTCCGCTGGATGTTGTAAACTGATGTGTTGCTGTTGGTCCATCTGCTGCTTTTATCTGCCTGCTACTGCTACTCCGTTCCTTTAATTTGCTGCGTGTCTAGTGAGCTCACTCATTAGAAACTGAAAGCACAGCCGTCATAGATCATTTGCCAGACGGTACAAAAAGTAGTATATAGGAATCCCACTCGGAATCCACCATGTACAATTTTAAGTGCAACTAACAAATAAAAGGAGCTGAAGAGAGGGTTTGGTGGCTGAGAGCATTGGCTGCTCTCGTAGAGGTACCAGTTTCAATTCCCAGCATCCACATGGAGCGCTCAGTCATTTTAACTCCAGATCTGGAAGGTTCTGTCGCCCTCTTCTGGCCTACATGGGCATCAAGCATGCATGTGGTGCAGACATACAGAAAACATGGCCAGGCACTGGTGGCACACACCTTTGCATCCCAGAGCCTTTTAACTGTTCCCACACCACATGGCAAGGCCCAGAAGACAAATGTCAACAACACCCAAAGTCACTAGAAAGTGATGGGGCAATGTCTCATATGGAAATATGCATGCCTACCCAGGCCATCAGTGATGTCAGGCTGGGGTTATCCAAACAGGACAAGCCTCAAAATTCTACAGACCTGAGATCCTGTCAGGATGTTTCTAGACGGGGTGTCCTAGCATGAATCTGAAAGTTCCCCCACAGACCCATGTGTTACAAAGTTGGTGGTGTCATCTTCAGGGATTGGAGGTAGTAGGAGGGTATATGTCATTGGTGGTATACCCTTGAAGGGGATGATGGAGCCTAGACTCTTTGCTTTTCGCATCTGCCCATGAGGTGAACAGGGTTTGCCCCACCACATGCGGCCACCACAATGTATGTGACACCCATGTCCAAAGCAATAGAGCCAACAGAGCAGGGTATCTAAAACTGAGCCAAAATAAATCCTCCTCTCTAAGTTGCTGTTCTCATGTATTGCTCACTGTAACAGAGAGATAACAGGCCGGCTCAAAGCAGGCAAAGGATGTCAGAAGACTGCCCAGTGCGTGGGATCGTGCTCCTGGGGGAGCCTCAGTTCTATAGAGGATTAAGAATGAAATTGAGGCAGCAAAGAAGCAGTTATTAGCCCTAAGGAAAATAAAACGTGCACAAGAAGGAAATAGAACCACAGAACACTACTCAGCTCCACTTCCAACATTGTTTACTTAGTTACAATGGTACAAACACTGCCTCCAGGTTTAAGGCAACAAAGTGACTACAGACCAGCAACTGGACTGAGAAGAGAGGATAATGTGACATTGTTTCATACAAGGACCTAGACTAGAAAGACCTAAAACTGTGGACAAATAGACAGCAGTGTTGGCAGTCACAAGGGACAGTGACTTGTAATAAGACTCGTCATTCCACTCTGTGCACAGGCTGATAAAATAAACATTTACTTTTAGGCATAAAATACACTGGCACCAAACCAATGCTTGCTACTTGACATACCAAAAGTATTTAAAGACAGGGTGGGAATGGCTTCTCCTTGTATGGTTTGATGTTACTTAAAATTTTCTTGTGGGCACTCCCTGAACACTTTGAAGCCAGCGGCTGACTAAGAGGCCATGTTGTCAGCCCAAGGGGCTTGCCTTACCAACGGGAACTCAAGGTGCAATTTTTTTAATAGCCAAAATGAGACAAGAACTATACAAGAAAAAATACAGATGAAACTTACTCATGGACATAAAGAAAGAACCCAGCAATGAGTAAATATTGATAAAGGCAATGGCCTCCCAAGCACTAGGCTTTGGGGTGACGTGTAAAGGTTACCCTGACTTCTACAGGAAATAGCTCGGTGTTTATGACAGAAGGTTCTGCGTGTGTCTGAAAAGGCAGGCAGCACGGGATAAAACACTAAGGACCCACGTGACTTGGGACAGCTTGTTCTTACATGCTTCAGATCTTAGGAAATGGTTCTTGGAGAACTTGGCAGAAGACGAAAAGAAACTATAAAGCAGTCCCACTCGAATCTACTGAACCCTCGTGGGCTAGAAAGGTCTCTCTGGTCAAGCCACAGTGCTTGAGAGCCGCCGCCGCTCTTCCAAGTTGCAGCCTTTTGGGTAAGTAGACCAATCCGAGCAGATACGAGCTACAGTTGGGGAGATAACATACACTGGCCGAGTCATGATGGTGGAGCCTGAGACGGGTGCGCAGTGACTTGGGCACTAACCGAAGTGAACTTAGGGCCTTCTCTATTTCTCTTTCCCGTAATCGGAATCTGTCTGTCTGTGGCTGGCCTGCCCATTTTGGGACGTGTGATTGCGCTGTGAAACCCCAAGACTACGTTAAACAAAATCAACCTTGGATCAGGGGGCAGAGCCAGTAGCTAGTTCACAGGAATTAGTCATAGAGAATAAGGAATATTCAGGAAGAAGGAAGGAGTAGAGAGGATTAAAGCTTCATGGGCTTTTTTTGGTTTGAGGTGTGTGGAGAAATGGTCTCTTTCTGGGTCTCTGGCCAAAAAGGAAGGTCATCTGGTTGCTTCTGGGCCTCTGTGATCTATCAGGTTTTCACCCTAGCGTCTGACTCCCGAGTCTTCACTGGTGAATAGAACAACTTCGTTAAAAAAACAATACCTGCTTGCGTGAGAAGCATTACTTACTGTGCACGAAATATTCTCTCAAACTCCAGGGACCCGGAGACTGCGGGGGGTGCAATCTTGTATTTTAATCTTGCTCGTCCAACACAAAAACCAAAATAAACTGCAAGGGAAAGGAGCGTGGTGTTAAAGTGTGGGGCATCACTGGTCATGAGCAAAGTGTGACTATCATTGGGTACCATGACTACCTGCTAGAAACCATCCAATTAAACCAGACCAGCCCCAGGGACCTAGACATCCCTGCCTCCCTAGCACTGGGATTACAAGCCTGCACCACCATGTCCCTTTTGTTTGGTTTTTACCTGAGTTCTGGGGGTCTAATCTCAAGTCCTTGTGTTTGCAAAGCAAGTTCTTTACCACCTGAATTATCTCCCAGCTCCCTCATCTCCTCCTTTCTTCATAATTACCTCCTGGCGCATATCATTTCCCTTCCCATTATCTCACCCACTTTTGCGTCCTTAATTGTTGCCTCAAACACAACTTGGTCTCACTTTAATATCTCAACTACCACTTCTGACTGACTCCCTGATATTTAAAAAATATCCCCACAACAAGTTTGCGGCTTCAGTCTCCGTGGGGTGAGTACTCGTGGAGGGGCTTTTCATCCTGACTCAGAGCACGCCTGCCCTTGGACAGGAAGTCAGGACTGAGCCTGGCCTAGGAAGGGCTCCCTCTGTGGGCTCCTTTCCTTCGCTTTGGCTCCCAGTTAGCTGTGGCTTAGGAGTTGAGCTGTGAAAAGAGAAACTAAGCATGCACTGTGTTAGGACTGAAACAATTCGGGAGTGAGGGTGGGCACTGATTCTTTCTACCTTCCTGGGCACTGTAACTGAGGACAGGCCAGTAGTGCATGGGCCCACCCAGAGTCCGAAGAGGGGAGGGATTCTGTCCATATGGAAAAAAATTGGAACTTGACCTTTCTGACCACCACTGTCCCCTGCACACACCCCTGTGCTGTTACTGTGGCTTCTAATTTAATTCACGGCTCTGAAGGAAACAACTAGGGACTGGAAACAATGAAGGCTGTGTGCTCCTAGATTGACCAATGAGCAGAGGTACAGGAACACAGGGCTTCCAAAAGGCTTGTGAATGAGCAAACAATCCATAACACTAACCACTAACCTCTAACTCTAACCCTAACCCCTAACCCCTAACCCCTAACCCTAACCATTAACCCTAACCCTAACCCCAACCCTAACACAAACCCTAACACAAACCCTTAACTCTAACCCCAACCCTAACCCTAACCCTGAATGAGCAAACACTCCCTAACCCAAACTACTAACCCTAACGCCAACCCTAACCCTAACCCTAACCCCAACCTTAACCCTAACCCTAACCCCAACCCTAACCCTAACCCTAACCCTAACACCAACCCTAACCCCAACCCTAACCCTGAATGAGCAAACACTCCCTAACCCTAACCAAGTTCAGTTTCTCTCAACACTGTGAACTGCATTCTGTCTGCTACACCAGCCAGTGTGAGGACCTTGATCAGTAAATGGGAGAGGTGTGTGAATACCCACAATGGGAAGAAACATTTGGGTTTGGTGCCAACCTCTGGGGTAAAAGCCCCAATCTGTACTCTAGGCTCAGGGCCTCGGGAAGATCATGGCTGTCAATAACCACAATAAGTGTGAACAAGACATTTTATCCGTTCTGTGGAATACTGAATTTCTCCTCCTACAATCACCTTTGTTTTGCCCATCTTTCCTCTTTCCCAGGGTGGGAGAATGCTTGTGTTCTCCCCCGACCACTGATGACCACTCAGTCGTGGATGGATCCTTCCCTGGGGAAGTCTCTTCTCCACCTGCAGCTTCTCTCTGGTTCGGATAGGAACAGTGCTAACTAATGACCAGTCACCATGGAGACACTTCCTACTCAGGACCCTGTCTGTGCCGAGGACATGGAAGAGCAGAGCATCCTGCTTGGGGGCTGGATCAGATATGGCTGGTCTGTCTTAAAAACCTGAGTGGTTTGCACATTGGCACAAGGTGTCCTGGTTCCGTAAACAACAAACATCTGTTGAGGCAGCCAGTTAAACAGTGTCTGTCTGTCTGGGTCTCTCTGTGCTCCACTCCCTACAAGTGACCATTTTTCTACCGCAGACATCATTTCCCGTCTCTCTTCTCTGCCTATCCCCTTCCTCCCTCACCGATGAACTGCTTGACTTCCGGTCCCAGCTTACAGTGTCCTCAGCGTCAGCCAGCACACAAAAGGCTCTCTGTGGGGACGGAGACTCTGTGGTAGGGCGTGTAACCCTGTCCCTGCCTGCTCAGGACCACAGGCTATTGATTGCTTAGACCCAACTTCTTCTTTGGTTGGAAGCAAACACCTGCTCTGTTCCACAAAAGCTGGTAAACGAAGCATGTCTGAAGGGTTAAGGTTTTCCCACGTCCACAAAGCAGACTGGCTAGGCTGGCCACTGAGTGAATGTGAAGACTGGACTTTGTCACTGAGCATAGCGGTCTTTTGCTTCCTGTAGTGTTTGGCCTGCACTGTCCCCAGCGCTCAGACCTGGTTCCGGATACGTGCACCCCAGGGAGAATAAGCAGGCTCTGTTGGTAAGAAACTCTGTTCAGTAGGCATGTTGGGCAGATACCACGCATTGAGTAACTGAGGCTCTTGGGGAGCCAGAGCCTCCATTTAACCAGACAGACCGGTGTGGAGTCACCCTGGTAGGGAGATGTTGTAATGTTTAGAAATCATTACTTGATCCAAAATGCATAATTCTGCAAAGTTTTACCTTGATGATCTCCGCCACAGGCAGTTTCTCTAAGAAAACACACTAAAAGTTTACAACCAAGTTTAGAAACAGGAAAGGTTTCCTGGTGCACATTCCTTACGGGTGTTTGTCTCAAGTGCTCGCGTCCCCACCTGGGACTTCTAATGCTCACACCGGGATGTGGACTGTCGGCATAGATGATGCAGTCACGGGGCTCTGAGGCCCTCCACATCCCTGTGAGAACTAATCTTAGACATGCATCCCAGGGAAGGAGAGCACAGGCCACCCTAAGCAATCCACGCCCTGCTGGGCACCCAGGACTACTAACCAAATACAGGCATGAAACCCACATGCACACTGGAGCAATCTCTCTCTCTCTCTCTCTCTCTCTCTCTCTCTCTCTCTCTCACACACACACACAGCATACACATCGTATCACACATACCACATATTCACACACACACACATCACACTCATATACATACACCACACACACACCATACATATCACATTCACACACACACACACACACACACACACCATACACACACTCACACACACACACCATCCCCGTGTTCTTACTTTGCTGACAGGCAGAGAGAAGGGAGACTGCGGCCAGCAGGATTGGATCTCCTGCCATCCCTGGTCTGTTTCACACAAGTGTTTGTGGGAAGCCAGCTGACGAGCATAGGCGCGTTAGGACCCAGAGGGAATGATCTAGCTCCCTTACAGAGTCAACAGAATTGAATCAACAGAGTTGAGAAACAAGGGGAAAAAAGGGCAGGATTCAAGGCTGAGTAACAACCTTTGCACCGGAACACAAACCAGGAAGATAGGCAAGCCTGCTGGACTGTGTGCCTTTCCAAACCCGCACTACAAAACACACACACACACACACAGATACACACAGACACACACAGATACACACACAGATACACACACAGACACACACACACAGACACACACACACAAGATACACACACAGACACACACACAGATACACACACAGACATACACACATACAGACACACACACAGATACACACACATACAGACACACACACAGATACACACACAGACACACATACATAGACACACATACACACACAGAGATACAGAGACACAGATACAGACACACACATACATACATAGACACACACATACATACACACACAGACACACATACACACACACAGAGATACACAGACACACACACAGAGACAGAGATACAGACACGTACATACATACATAGACATACACAGACACACACACAGAGACACAGATACAGACACATATACACATACACAGACACAGACACATATACACACACACATACACAGACACACACACACATATACACATACACAGACACAGACACACTGACTCCAGATTGACCCTCTTGGGCTCCCTCTGAGTCATTGTCTTCCTGTTGAACAAATCCTGGGACCCCCCCGCACTGATGTCTCCCAGTTCCTCAACTCTAGTTCCTAAAAGACAACTTAAAATAAATAAAAGCTTAACAGTCTTTAAAGCCCTATGCATTTGGTCTGTTTTACGATCAGCTTATTATCAGCTCTCTTTCCGTTGGGGACACTAGGCCTCTGGTCCTCACTCACTGTTGGTGGTGGCCCTTATGTTTTAACCACATCGACGTGTAGCAAAGCTCAATGCAAAGGCCAGGCCACTGTGGCTGGCGCTGCTCCTAACTGTCTGGACGGTGAAACTCGTGTCTGCCCAGGAGGTCACGCCTGTACCTCTGATACTTCTCAGGTGGCCTGAAGATGCCCTTTACCTTGCACCAACAGGGCCCTCAGGTGTCCGTGGAGATGGCAGTCTTGTCATGATCCTGTCCCCACCCACCAGAAGCCCCTTGGATCTGCTCTGAGGCAGCTTAATCCTGAGAGCATGTGGTTTCCACCTTTAGGAAGGTAGACAACAATGCAGCGTCACATAATGGAACATGGACAGCCCTTCTGCAGAGACAACATTCCTGCATGGTCCTTCGTGAAAACGTTGCTGTTCGGTCAATAGAACCCTCCAAAACTTAAGAATTTTATTTGAATTTTTAATATATTCTGTCGTACGTGTATGACCTGAGCCCGCAGAAAGAAGGGCGTCAAACAAGGAGGCATTGAATGGGAGGACCAGGCATGAGAAACTAAGGTGACAAAGCAATGCCCACACCTGGGAGGCCAGGAGGAAGCTGTGTGTGTGTGTGTCTGTTTGTGTGCATGTGTGTATCTGTGTCTCTCTGTGTGCATGTGTGTGTCTGTATGTCTGTGTGTGCATGTGTGTGTCTGTATGTTTGTGTGTGCATGTGTGTATCTGTGTCTGTGTGTGCATGTGTGTGTCTGTATGTCTGTGTGTGCATGTGTGTCTGTATGTCTGTGTGTGCATGTGTGCCTGTATGTTTGAGTGTGCATGTGTGTGTCTGTGTCTCTGTGTGTGCATGCGTGTGTCTGTGCATGTGTGGGTCTGTATGTGTGCCCCAACCTGCAGGACATTCAATGTGGGACCGTGGGACACCTAGGAGAAAGATGGGGGACAAGAGATACAAAGAAGGACACCAACACAGGTGTCTGATCAAGGTGAGGAAACTTTATTCTTTCTAAGGTATATTTAAGGGGCTTGGAGGAGGAGGTGAGGAGGGGAGGGAACGAGGGTGATGACCATAACTGCAAGGAAGCTGGCAGGGCAAAAGGTCAGTGGGAGAGGCAGCCTCCTGTATTGCCTGGTAACCTAATCCACAGGGCAAAAGGCCAGGGGTAGAACCTCCTGTGTTGCTTGGCAACCTGACTGTAGGTTCTTACTTTATCTTTCTCAATCTTTCCCTATTGCCCAAGCCTATCTTCTGGTGGACTTGGGGGCTTTATGTTGAGCTAATCTTTAACTGACAATTAAGCTGCAGGCCTGTTTCTGGAATTTAACAGAGGTGGCAGGGTGGTCCGGAGTCACGTCCTCTTTATGAGGATGAAGTCATGTCTTCTTCTATGAGGTCGTGATGCAGCCGTATCTGACTTATGGCTGGAGGCCCCTGGTGTGTGTGTGTGTGTGTGTGTGTGTGTGCGTGTGTGTGTGTGTGTGTATGCATTGTGTGTGTGTGTGTGTGTGTGTGGTGTGTGTTCGTGTGTGTGTGCGTGTGTGTGAGTGTGTGTGCGTGTGAGTGTGCGTGTGAGTGTGTGTGCGTGTGTGTGCGTGTGTGCGTGCATGCGTGTGTGTGCGTGTGTGTGTGTGTGTGCGTGCGTGCGTGCGTGTGTGTGTGCGTGTGTGTGTGTGTGTGTGTGTGTGTGAGACACAGCCCCCCATGTAACGGTCAGAGTGACCTCAGGTCTTCAGGCATGCATAGCAAGCACTTCTATCTACTGAGTCACAGAGTTTGTTGTAACATTTCCTGGCCTGAAAAGGAAAAGACATTTTTCTGCAGGACACATCAATTCTTTAGAATGGGGTCCCTTTCTCCTCTGCTTTCCTCAGTACTAGGTACTAAATCCGGGGCCTTGTGAATGCTAGCCACACACCACTGAGGAGCAACCTCAACATTCCTCGCAGCTGCCTGAGACGAGGGAACTAAGACAATAAACAACACAGTGGCAGCAGTGGCTGGGCACACTTACAGTGTGTCCTCCGAGACTGCAGAGGACTCTGTGAGAACTCAGAGTATTTCACTCACTAACTTATCACGTTCTCACCAAAGCCATTCTCTGGATAAGGTAGACCAGAGGGTTGGTGATAGGAAAATGCTGCTGAACTGTGGGAAGGAATTGCTTTTACAAGATGGAAACATTAAACATAACTGTTCTGGAAGCTGGACCTCACACAGACCTCTAGACACAGCACTGGGAATGTAGCTCCATAATACAGTGCTTGCCTAGCAAAGGCAGGGCCCTGGAATCGACCCCCCATGGCTAAAAAATGGGGGTCTATCTGGGCAATGCAGTAAAAACAAGTCTCAAAGCAAACATATGGCTGTTTCTGCGTAATTCTGATAACTGGTACAAAGAAATGATAACCTAGCATGAAGTAAATGTTTTCGCTCAAAAACATCCTCCACTGCACAACCCCTGGCTGTTCTCTCGCCCATCCTCTCCCCTTTCTCCCTATCCTTCAAAAATAGTAACAGCTTCCCAGTGATGACAGCTTGTCCATCATCTGGAGTGTGTAGGGCACAGTGGCAGAGCTCTCCCAGCATCTGACGTGCTGAGTGGCAGAGAAAGAAAGAGACAGAAAAATCATCTCCTTCCTGGAGTTGCCCGGAAATAATCGAAGAGGCTGTTCCATTGGTGGCCTCGATGGTTTTGACTGATAAGTGTTCAGTGGCTACTCCCTACTTGCCTCAAGTTTACTGCATGATCCTGAGGAAGTGCCCATACCAACTCCCAAGTTTTAAAGAAAAACTCAGGTAAATGAAACAGGAAGTATGCCCGTTTTTTTTCTCATACTGCAAAAATTTGAGCAACAGCAACAATGTGATAGACTATGCCATCATTTATTTAAGTGTTCTCCAAGAGCCCATGTGTTGAAAGCCTCCAACTCATAGTGCTGTCGGGAGATGGTGGGCAAATCTTTATGAGGTCTAGCCGGGAGGTGGTGGTGCACGCCTTTAATCCCAGCCCTCTCCGGAGGAAGAGGTAGGTGGATCTCTGAGTTCAAGGTCAGCCTGTTCTACAGAGAGAGTTTCAGGACAGCCAGGGCTACACAGAGAAACCCTGTCTCACCCCCCCCAAAAGAGGTGGGGCTTATTGGGAAGACGTTAGGCCAGCTGCTGTGAGAGCACCCTGAAAGGAGGTACTGAGAACTTGCTCACCCCCCTTACTTCCCAGCCATCAGAGGCCAACAGGCTTTCTTTGTAGCATCCTCTTGCCATGAGGTACTGTGTTACCACAGGCCCAAGCAACAGTCATGGCTAAAACTTCTCAGACCATGAGCCTAAATGTCCTCTCTCCCTTTCAACTGATTTTCTCTGGTATCTTGTTACACTAACACGAAGCTAAATAACACTAACTATCTTTCTTGCCTCTCAGAAATGGAGGCATTTTGCTCTATCATCCTAAGTGGGGAAAACTGAACTAAAGAAGATGAGGGCATTTTACCGGTTTTGAGGAGCCAACTGCCCTGGGCATGGGGCACCTTAGCCTGTCACCCAGCACCAGGGTGTCATGTCAAACCAAAAGATAAAAGAGCAAAGCATAGGAAAAGAAAGGCCACTCCACCGCAGTAAGGGAAAGTGCCAGATATTAGTAGTGACCTAAACTCACACCCCTGGGTCGGAGCTAGCGGCTACATTTCCATGGACACGTTTGCTTTAAAGGCAAGTGGTAACTGTGACCTTTCAGGGCCCCTCAAGCATGCAAATGAAATAGCACAAGGGAAGCAAACATCATGTTGTCCACAGGCATCACCACCCACCCGTGCTGCCATAAGCCCGTGGCTGCCAGCCTCCAGTCGGGACAGAGAGACCAGCCCTGTGTGTTTCCAAGGCTGTCACTTATCGTAACAGAAGGGCCCAGAATGCAGGCATAATTTTCAGGGCTAAACGGGTTCCCCCAGAAGACTGGAAATAACATTTGAATTGCTTCAAATGGCTTTTGACGGTAGTAGAAGGTCTCAACCTGAGTCATCTCAAGTTTACTTAGGGATTAGGAGGGGATGAGACAAAGGGACCCAGAGGCCGTGAAGAGAAGTAGTAGAAGTCTCCCTGAAGACTGCCCCACAGATCTGCAGCCCTCCACACACTGACTCCCACACCTGAGG